CCAGTCGACCCCCCTATAACACTGTTGATTTTTCCGTTTTATATGAATTTCATGTTGTATGAGTCACTTAAATTTTACAAATACGTGTGCCCGGCTGTGAATGGCTCACGTATTTGTAAAATCTAAGTGACTCGTACAACATGGAATTCATATAAAACGGAAAAATCAACAGTGTTATAGGGGGGTCGACTTGTAGTCTTGTAAATTTGTGTGTATGGCTTAATGATAATGATAGAATCAATGGATAAAATGGGTAAACAAAGATTCGGATTTACGTGTAAACTAAACAAGCTGTAATTTAGGGCCTCGTTCTATTGACAAATAACAGGAAGGGCCTCTTGTATGTTATTAGAATAAGGCCACCACAAGTCTAAATTCAGCTCTGGAAAAACAATAAAAAACACAGGAAGGATCTCTTGTATAGGACCACAAATCTAAATCTCTAAAGAATAAAAAATAACACAAGAAGGCCCCATATATTGCCACCACAATTGTAAATCCGGATCTACATAAACAATTAAAAAAACACAGGAAAGACCTCTTGACTATTACCATCAATAAGACCACAACAAATCCTAATCCGACTCCGAATAAACAGAATAAGAAAAGAAACGTTATAAATAAATTATTTAATGTATAAATATATACACTTTAAAACATTTATTTACCTAAAATAATTTAATAATTTATTATAGTATATAGTTAACTTTAGAAATTGCTGTTTTCTTCCTCTTCAAAAAAAGGGAATTTTCTAACAAAAATCTACTCTATCTCTCTCTCTCTCTCTTTCTGCCATATAATAAATTGCACTTTAGTATAAAAAAAAAAATAATAAAAGAAGAAGTTTCGGCAGATAGAAGAGGATCCATTTATTCACAGGTGTACCAGGTGCCGTAAATAACTGTACAATAATAGAAGAAACAGATGTTTGAGTCAAATACCGTCGCGCTTTATGAAGGAGGATTAAAACAACAATTTTATTAGAAGTATATTGAGCTGATTATCTAGAAACCTATACTAGCTTAAGATCTCCCTCCCTTTTATTTTTTTTCCCTGAAACTTCTCGGTTGAGGGTTTTAACTTCTATCTTCTCTTTTCTCATCATGATTTCTATTTCTAATGCGAAAGGACAGAGTAAAGCTGTTGTTCTTAAAGCTACAACATTATCACCACCTGGCGAACTTACTTTCAAAGGTATTGTTTTTTTTTTTCTTTCTTTCTTTCTTCTCTCCCCTCACTGCTAAGATGATTTATCAGAAGTATTTCTATATTAATTTGCGGTTTAACGTTTAGTTTTTTCGTATTTAATTGCAGAAAAGGGTGAAGATTTCATATACAGTCCTGCCTTAATTGTTGCTGGTAGTGTTCTTGTCATTGTTATCTTAGCTGTTGCAATTATATTAAGGGCCATTTTCCATCAAAGAATAGGTAAATTTACAGATTTTTTTTCTATAAATCGATACGTTTTAATGTATATTTTAACATTTAAAAAAAAGAAGAAAGAATTTTAATGTATATATATTTTTTTTATATATTTCGAGTTGTATAGATTCTTTTAGTGTCTATCTTAATGTATAATATAAGAAGAAATCTTTGTATTTGCATGTTTATATGTAACACAAATTTCATGTGTTAATGGTTGGAATTATATCTTTAATTTATTACCATTTAAAATGTCATATTTTCAAAGCAAACAGAATTTTGTAACGTTTTAAAGGCAATAAATGATATCCTTTTACGACTAAAACTATTTCGAAGATTTTAAACACTAAACCAAGGTAAAATGTGTTTAATGTCTACACGTGAATACACCTTTTACTGTATTACTTTAAGATTAAATTGTTTAAAATTTTATCCCCCCAAAAAGTATATATATATATATATAGTAGATATATAAAGTAAAATGTCCGTTTGTTTGTTCTTTAGGGAATGTCCACACTAAAAGGGATGGAAGGGGATTAAACTTCAGTGGATTTCAGTTTTATTTTCATTAAATTTTATACAGTTTATACATTTTATTATACATAAAATGATAAAAGGTTTTGAGGGGGATTGAGTTTTCTTAGATGTTCGAACAGGGGAGGGGGTTAAATTAACTCCTAAATCCTTCGCCGATCTGTATCAAATTTCTCACACTTACTTTCTATAACCCCGAGGAAAATACAGGTTACCTGAAACCTGATTTCATCCCTCATTAACTCCTAAACCCTTTGCCAATCTGTACGAAATTTCTCATAATATTCTTTATTATACACAGTATATCACAAATTATACGACTCAAACAGTAATTTATATTCTACAATAAAATAATAAACCAATAATTTCATTTCGTGTGCAAAATTATCTAAAATATATTTATTTTTCTTTTATTAATAAACACTTAAAGATCAATTCGACTGGAATAAAACACTACATAAAATCTCATTCTACATATCAATAACCAAACTTTATTACCTATTTACGAATAAGAGATTAAGTAAAATAACACAACTTTCAATTCACCAAACACTACTTTTTTTCTCCCCCTCCTCTTTTTTTTTTTTTTTTACTTTATATTATCAACACGTTGTCAATCTCTATATATATTGAAAGCTTATTTGTAGTCTATTATACAAGTATAAAAGACATGATTAAAAGTTTCTTCATAAAGTAGAAAGTTTCTTCTTAACCATAGTTGAAGACCATTATTTTAATAGTTTACAACACAGTATCGTCTTCTTTGATTCCTCTTCTTATTGGTGGATACAGCATATCTTTATTATCACCATTTTGTGCTTACAGACAGTACTCTTGACGTCAGATCTCTACCTCATAAAACTAATGAAAGCTTCAACACCAAAAAGTTAAGTAAAAATCGATATTTTCTCGATTTTTTTCATGTATTCTTCACCTTTATATATATATATTTTTTTATTATTTTTATGAAAGGATGTGAAAAATAGCGAATTGAACAAAATTACAATTATTGTCAATCTGACAATAGTACAACTTGATTTCATTTTTTTTTTCCTCTTGCCTTCCTTTGCTTTATTTTCCTTGCTGTCATACAAATTCCATTACAAATTATTGTTCTTTCTGGTATAAAAAAACAAAAAAATAAGAAAAATTTACATTTTTTTTCTGTGGATTTTCTTAAAAAAACAATCATTAAATAAAATCAAATGCCATTGAGGGGGGTGTGAATTTCTGTAGTACAGAAAAAGATATTAAAAAATCAAATTTACCCCCCCTCTTTTTGTTAAGGGGAAAAATTAAGGCATTTTTTTAATGTTATAATTTAAAACTTTTAATTGTGATAAATTAAACATTATAAATTATCCTTTTACCTAATTAAAAATGCCAATATCATCTGATACAATTTTGTAAACTACTTTGTAAATAATAATAATAATTAATAATAATATTTAAAAAATATTTTTAATTAATACTTTTTTTTTTCTTTCCTTCCTTTCTTTTTCCTCATTAGACAAGAATAAACTGGTGTTAGCATTATAAATTATATAATACAGAGATAATTATTAACTGTAATTTAAAGGTAATCGAGGAATTTTATGTAATAAATTATAAATTTCGTTAATTAATTAATGTTACATTGTTGCACTAACGAGTGTGTTAGAATTGTTACATTTATTCCTATTAAAATATACAGATATTTGATTTGTATTATAAAAAGTATGGGTTCCTCGTATGCTAATAAAAAGAGCTGGAGTTAAAGGAATCCTTTAATTAGGTGTACATTTTAAGTACAGTACATCATTGTACATGATGGAGAGGGGGTTAGTACTAAGCATTGTATACGTAGTGGCACATGATTTTGTTCTTGTAACCCGTAAAGTGTCAGGAGGATCCACGTACAATTGTACACGTAATCAAAGGGAAAGGTGGTTTTTGACAAAAACTACGTTATTGTACGCAACGGGAGGGGGATAAAAAGAGGTTCAAAAACTGTATACGTAATTAATGGACATCCCTTAAGATATATGTATCTAATTTTAATATACTTGAATGAGATTTGATGACTTCAAACTTTAGTTTTAAAGTCTTCAAATTAGTTAATTGCAATGGCATTATAATAGATTTATCATCATAATAAAATTTATAATTTAACTATAAACATAATTATCGTTAGGTAAAGCCAAATTATGCGGTTACTTACAAGAATATTGTGTAAAATATCCTGTTAAATAAATGAAAATGGGTTGTATAATGAATATAATTTTTCATACATAATCTCACGTGTAAACTAGTGTGTCTTGGTTAAATAAGTGAACATATTTAAAATAATAAATACATAAAAAGAAAATATTTAAGTTTTTATTTTAATGTCTTTTATTAATTTAAATAAAAAGCAAAGCCTCATTATAATTGGGTCAGAAGGACTGTGATGTGATTAAGCCTCAATTGTGAGCCTCAGAAACGTTTGGGCCTGAAGAGATAAGTGAAACAGGCCTCTTTTTTATGTGTTTATGTGAGGCCCGTTTTTTTACATTTATCTTCAAATAACAATATGAACTTACAGGAAATAATTATCCCTAAAGCCTTAATCTCTCTGCCTTTCATTTTCTTACCTTCAGAACCTTACATTTTTGCAAAACGTAAGGTTCTGAAATCATTTTAGTACAGCAGAGAAGCTGAAGGACGGAGCGATTCGGTTTTTTTCGCAGTGCTTATTAGTATTGTAGAGCACCATATGAAGGGATAGCTAGTCTGAACTTTAACTCCTTCTAGTGTTAAAACAATATGTTTGAAGGGCCATGTTTATCAGTCATTTTTAAATCCCTTAAGTTTGTATAGAACAATGCTCTTAGTGGCCGAGTGGATGAAACCACTGAACACTAGTATTTAGGTCCTGGTAGTGTTTCTAACACGTAGAGTTTTTAGGGGTTTTCTTTCCGTGTTTAACGCCTAAACAGAAGCCAGTTTTCGTAGAAAGTCTTTCCGGGAGGCATCCCTACTTGGCAGATCTCCCATGTGTTGAGCTGCCTTATCCCCATCAACTAATCCAATCAATCACCTTCTTGGAGCCATGTTAGCAGTTAATACTAAAAATATTCTATTAAGTGTATTGTTTTTTTTAATGAAATTTTGCAGCATATTGAATGCATGGTGATAACAAAAACAATACGTTGCGTGTACGAAAGACACATTTATTGAACTGGCTCGAACACGTCAGAGGACATTCTAAGGACGTCATTAATAACGACATTAAATAAAGAAAGCTCCAGGAAGATCCCCTTGAGGACGATCGCATTGACCTTGAACTATAGCTTAAAAGATCTATCATGTTATTCTATGGCAGGCAAGAAGAGGAGAAAAAAAAATATCATCTTCAAAAAAAATGACTGCTGACAGCATGTTTTTTCTAGTGTGTGGCACGAAAGTCTATGGAGACCAAGTTAAAAGACATTGGAGTAATCAATGAAAACAATTGATAATAAGCTTTTCTTCCCTTTATAAATGATGCTGGGTGCTAGATAATTCTATTGTACAGAAAGTTATTTGGTACGATAATCCGAGCAAGCATTTAAATTAACGTAATTCTGTATGAAAGAAGTATTTTAGAATAGAAGAAAATGTAGTAGACTGATTTAATTCGGTTTGTTGGAATAAATAATTAATTAGACTTATGTTTTAAGAGGCTAAATTAGGCTCCCTGTCATCAGGGACGAACTGAAATTTCCCCTCTTGTTCTGGAATTTTGGAACATTGATGACACGCGATAAGTCATAGGTACCACCGCTAGTCCACCTTTTTATTTCTACACCCTCAAATCTAGGCGCCCCTTTTACTTCTATTTGCTCCTTTTCTAATTGCGTCCCTGCTAGAAGATGAAAATCTACATTAGTTTATTAAGGAACTGTGGCAAGAAGACTTTTATACCTTCACATCTGGGTCCTCACCTGGCACCTTGCTTGCTCTTCTTCTAATTGTACCCCCTAATAGATGAAAATGTACGTTGGTTTAGTTTACTAAGGATCCCTTGGAAAGAGCAATTTTTGTTAATAGTGGATACAGAAATCTTTACAAGGATGCAGGAAGGAAACGAAACTTTTTACTACTGAGTTACCTTGCTTTACTCGAGAAAAACCCTCAGAAGAGGGGTGCATCTGTGCCCTTTACACCCCCTAAATCCATATATACGTGAATAAGATACTGTTCTTCTGATTTTTCATATAATTTTGTGTATTTTATTCTTCAAATTACCCATGAAAAATCATGAAGACTTCCTTTTCCATTAGTCATCATGCTGACTGATCTCATTGCGGGTCAGATCCTTCTGCAAATTGACAAAACTGAAGTCAGTGGTATAATTCAATAGAAACTGAAAGATAATCCATCTTAATCTTTTGACCCAAAGCTTCTATTAAAAAATAATAGAGAAAAAAAAAGAATATTTTAAATCTGAAAATGCGTATTTATTACTTTCA